GTATATTTAGGCGTTAGAACAGGGTAAAAGTTGTTGCGTACACAGGCTCTCCAGCCAATCTGACTGAATTTTAGCTAGTTAGCAAAAATCACAGTCTTTTCAGAACTGCTAGACACAGACACCAAAAAACGGCGTCAGAAGGTGGATCAATGGCTACATTTCTTATCTATAAAAACATGTTAAAGCATGTATCATCTCCTTTTAGTTCTCAATTATGCTCTACTCTGTGTTACAATGACAAAACATTAAAAAGGTTTGAGAGGTATGAATAGTTTAGTGAAGTACTGTGCATGAGGAGCCCACCCCACTAAAGGTGCTGGAGAAAACAAGCACTGTTCTTATGCAACAGGCCAGAAAAGTGTTTGCTTCCACACAATGCCCAAGGACACACAGCAGAACACGATGCTAAGAGAGAAATCATGTGCTCTGCTTTTTTTGGAGTCAAAACATCAGCTTCAAGTAATGGAAACTCCATTTTAGAAGATTTAAAAAGATTAAATAGTTATGTTGAAATATGTTTTTTTTACACATACACTGATCTCTTACAGGGTATCTAAGCAGAATGCACATAGAAGGAAAGTTTTTCCTGCCATAATATTATAATAACTTGCTTTGTGATGACAAAGAAAATCACTAGTGCATTCTAATCCATGTTTTTGTTAACTCATTTTGCATGTGCTGAGTTGCTATAAAAGAAGAAACCTGAAGAGTTTTTTTTTTTTTTTTTTTTGGGCACATTTCTTGGAAATTAAGTTCAGTGTTCAAGCAAACAGCCTCTTCACTGACACTACACACGCAGCAGCTCACCTTCCTGGCCATAATCAGACCGGATGGTCGATGTGAGACTTTAAAAACGACGCCTCCGTTGCCTGCGCCGAGCTCGCAGATCTTCTCAAAGTCGTCATCCTTCAGCTCTCCCACTTTCTGCTTCTGTGTCAGGAAGGCCTCCAAGCGTTTCCGTTGCTGCTCGTCCAGCTCAAGCTCCTCCAGCTTTTTCTGCAAAGCCTCCAAGTTTGTTCTAAAAAAAAAAAAAAACATAAAATCACCAGTTTGCATAATCTGTGATTTCCTCCAATAAAAATACTCAAATGCATTTATGCAATGTTCCAATTAAAATGAGGGCATTTTAACTCTAATGACCTTTCCAATATCTTAATTACACTTATGTAAGATCCAGCAAAAAATAAATATCTTTAAAGCATCATGCTGCCACCACCATGTTTCACACACAGTGAGAATGGTGTGTTCAGGGTGGTGTGCAGTGTTATGTTTTGCATAAAGGCCAAAACGTCGGTTACAGGTTTAGTGGTCTATCACATGAAACCCCAATAACGCAGTGCATTAATCAGTTAATTGTGAGATAAAATTTATTTTGTATATTTTTTATTAATTTTTTTTAAAAATAAAAGTTAAATAAGCAGAATGATGCATTTTCATCCTCAACAAAAGCAGAAATCACCTCTAGCCTGGTCATTTGCACAGACAAAGCTCCCAATCTGCATGAAAGGACACTGAAGTAGAGACGGGACGCTTTTCATTAAGCTCGGCGATGATTGAACTCTTCTTTTTTTTTTCTTTGCACTAAGTAAATCACGAGTCGCTGGAGAGAAGCACACGCTCCTCTCCATGCAGCACAGAGAGGGTTAAGTGCTTTTATTTTTTGATAGTGGAACTGCATATCCATGGAGACAAGGTGCCGTGTTTCGGCTGGATGTGGGTGGTGTGGGCGTTTGTTCGTTTCACAAGAGCTGGAGGTGGAGGAGGCGGGGAGACACTGAGAACAGTAGCAGCCTGGAACACACTCCATTCAAGATGTGTAGAGTACCCCCCACCCCCACCCACACACACACACACACACACACACACACACACACACACACACACACACACACCTTCAGGTTCAGGCAGAAGCTGGCTTTTGTTTGCCGTCCACGCAACATCCAAGGACATCCAGCAAGAATATCAAGCAAAGGAGAAAATCGTTTCTGCAAGTTGTCTCAAAGATCTCTGTAGATAAGATGACATGCCTTTTTTTCCCGTTTAGAGAAGGTACACCTGTTGGACAACGTTACATACACTTGAGTGCAGTGGTTACATTCCCAGCTGGTTTACCTAAACTCTTCTTTTTCAGAGATATCTGATGACACAACCTAAAAGAATGTTGGTGGTAAACATTTTTAGATTTTTTTTTCTGATATCCAGATGGACAGAATTATTCACACAGTCATTCAAACACTTTTGATAGATATTAACAAGCTTCTTGCAAATTCTGGCAGAATTTGACCACTCTTCATTAGAACTAGTTTATTTTGAGGCACAAACTAGGCTTTAAAGTACAGTTCACAAATGTTCAATCTACTCCAAATCCAGTTCTGATATTTTGGCATTTTTGTCTTGCTTAAACAACTATTTTGAACATTTCGGTAATGATTTGAGGACAACTAAAAAATGTATGACTGGCAGGTCAATGCTGAGGGTCTGTTTCATTATTATGGAACAGACCCTCAGCATTATTCTGCCACCATCACACTTGACAACTTGCACAATGTTCTTATGTCTAAAAACGTCCGTTTGACTCCTCTGGACATTATTCTTGTACTGCGATTAAATATCTTAGTCTCATTTGACCATAAAACATTTGACTTATTTTATCAGGGCAAAGCGTGACACTGCAGTCGCAGATTGTCCAGCATATGATGGACTTAGGTTTCCGAGGTTCCTGGATTGTTTCTAATCATCTAAACCAATTTTGTTTCATTTCATGTCACAATTTAACTCAAATGAGCGAAACAGAAAATTCAAGGCTGAAACAAAAAATGTAGCACTGTCCCAGGATAGTGTTATGTATGTTACATTTTTATTCCACCTTAGAAAAATATTGAAAAACCCCGTAATATGATATACTGATAAGAAGTGTATGTAATCTTCTGAATGGTAGATGGTAGTAGGTAGTTTAAAACAAGTTTTATTCTGCACTTGTTTTAACAGAATAAAACTTATTTCAGAAAACGGTGGCGTGCCATCTAGGGAGTTCTGAGCATCGACTTTATTGCAAAATATGCAAAGAAAAACATGAAAAATTAACCTCACTATGAATAATAAACCTGAGAAACTACTCCAAATTATAAATTATAATACATATTGTCATGAGATTTCCAAGATTTGGTTAGATAACACTACTCTGGACACCTTTTGATTTGCTATCATCTCTCCTGCTTTAATATTGCATTCTTGGCTTAAACATAAAGTGGGTCTCTGAGTGTGCTGCAGCAGGAACCGACAGCCATTTCACACTGTGAAAGCTTCTGGCCGACTAGAAAATGGGCAGTCCTGTTTTTTTCACCCTGCTGTAATGGTCTGGTTTCTGGGAAGAGGCTCGTCATTGAATTAAGCTTATTTACCACCATTATATTTGCTGACTGTGGTGTTCCAAATCATCCACAGCAATGTGCTTATGTTTTGAAATGCATGTTTTTAAACAAGGACACATTCAAAACTGTAGTTATTGCAACCACAATTCTGATGCTGCGAATAGATACGGTATATTATGTATACAAAAAAAAAAAAAAAACGTTTAAACTTTTAGAAAAGTAATTTTCTGTACTTTAAATACACAAATTTGAGCCATCATAATATTCTAACAATTTTTTTTTTCTTTTTACGAGTTTGTCTGCCGAGACAAAAACCAGGTGGTAAAGCCAAATTGAATTCTGCATGAGGTTATTAAATAGTAAATTATTTGCCCCAATAATCTTCTAAAGTCCTGTTAACAGCAGACATCTGATTTTCATTTCCAGCACATCTATTGCTATTGGCAAGATCGCACATAAAGAGAGTCCCAATTTTACGCATAAAAGTTTCTCATATTTCGTTTCAAGGAAAATGTAAAGATACTCTGCAGTGGTGTACTTCTATTCACTAAAAAATGACAGACAATAAAGCAGCATAGAATTTAGCTTTTAAAGAACTGAAGGGGAAAACTGATCATTTTTCATATGTGTTTTTGGGGAGTTGTGCGTGGCACAAGAATGAAGCTGATCAGCAGTAAACACTAAAGTAGACAAGCAATTATTGGTAGATTTCAACAGATATTTTAAAGTTGAAGTTCAGGTGTTTGACCTTACTGGTTTGATTCTGGTTATGCAGCAGTGGACGATGCTGAAACCTGTAGCTTTTGATTCTTTTGTTGCACAGCTGTTTCTAACAGTGAGAGTGACAGAATAACACCAGTCTGCAACAGACTGTCAGTGTGAGGTTCATACTGTGTGATAGAGTCCTATTATGGATGAAGAGATTCCACACTTTCAGGGTTCCTCTTCAGGGTTTACTGCCCTTCATCCTGTTGCAGCTTGTCCACAGTAGCAGGAATGTTAACAGCCTCGCGCCAAACACCACATTATCATCTGCAGGTTCTAACAATGACAGGCTAAAGCTCATATGCAGCAGTTCTGTCTCCAGAAGTTTTGTCTAATGATAGAAGTATAACATGTTTTGCCCTGGATGACATGTTACAGAAGCAGCCTCACAGTAAGTAAACATGTTACATAATATTCATCTCAGTCGAACCAGTTCATAGCAGCACTGACACAAGCTTTTTCCTCATGCGATAAAGCTGGGCTTTGTGTCACAACAGTTTTATTTCTTCATTATTATGTCTGGGCAAAAGGTGGTGAGAAAGAAACAGGTGCATAGACTAAAACTATGAACACGTGTTATTTAGCATATTGCTTTAGCTGCACGCTCCTGTACAAAGGGCTCTGGAGAGATGTGGTTTACATACAGTGGTGATTACATTGGGAAGGAATGGTAAACAATATATTTTTAACAGTTTCCCCCCCACCCACAACTAGAAGTATGAACAAAGTAGAACAAAGGTCACCATCAAAAATGTTTTTCTAACCTTCTCTTCATAACAGTGATGATAAGTCAGTGCTCTAACAGTTTTACTGATAAAATAACGGTTTTTGCTGTCATTGTGCTATGGAAGTACAGGTGGCATCAGTAGCATTTTTTAGCATTAGTTTTTACTTCATTATTTACTTACATTATCTAATGCTTGATGCTAATGATGATTTTGTGATTATTAATTTATTACTTTTAATTTTTTGTAGGATATTTTTACTTTACATGTAAACTGTTCATATAATACCAATACAATTTTCTAAAATGATTGACAGCAAATTTATAAAACACATAATTTATTTCCTTCCTACAAAGATCATTAAAGTCCTGGCTTTTTAGTTACAAATACTTGTGAAAGCTTAATTGTGCACTAACTCAAGGCACTTTTTTTTTTTTTTCAACAAACACCCATGTAAATGGAAATAAATCCAGGCAACTTTTATATATTTTGGGTCAGAAGAAGGTTGGAAATTTGTTTTTTTAATTCTCTTATACTTTTACTTTGTCTTATTTGTTTTGTTACAAATTCAGACAAAAAAAAGTCAAATTTATTGAAAACTCTAACAAAAACTACATTTTAAAAATTTATTAGTTTTATTCATTTTAAATTAACAATGATTGTAATTGAACTCATTTAATGTTATATTTTACAATTAAACAGATCAACAAAGTGTAAAATTCATAGGTGCAACTAAAGACAGACACCAGATGTGTAGACCATTTTACAAAAGCGCTCTAGAAATACTTTTGCTAGGCTTTTAAAAAATTTAAAACATTTCAACTGATAATTGCAGGAGGCGCAGATCAATAAAATCAGATTGAAACACACATTCGCCTGGTGCAGAGTCTCAGGTTGGAGTTTATACACACACACACACACACACACACACACACACACACACCCCCCTACACACACACACACACGCACACACACACACACACACACACACACACACACGCCAAATTCCCTGCTGACATGATTGTCCCATAATTAGGTCATAGCTGAGAATCTGAATATGAACAGCAGATTATTGATGGACACTCACTCTGAGGCTCCTGTTCCGTTGATAGTGTTTCCATCAGGAATCGGGTTCAGCTGGATCGGTTCTGGCTTCTTTCTTTTCTGCATGTTAGGGACAAGAATCAAGCGGGACAGGAAACAGATACAGAGGATCAGAGACAGGAGCAACGAAAAGAGACGTGGATGGACTCAAAGTGGATATCTCAGGGTGGAAAAATCACTGCCGTTTTAAGCTGCAGGGGCAAAGCAGCTGATGGTGGTGGATAAACGTCACGACAATATTTACACTGGTCTTCCGGATAGCATGGTAGAGCTAAGTGCAGCGCTCCCTCTGCTGGTTGTGTCTGAAACTGCCGTCATCCCTCTGAAATCAGAGCAGAGATTTTCTCCAATATAAAACATACCAACAGTTTGCCTTCAATTTGTTTCTAGTTACATTATTAATCATACAATTTTTCACATAAAAAAAATCAAGAATTGTTTTGGATCAGATGTTTGTTTTTTTTTTTTTTTTTCCCTATATTCTGTTTTAGAAATGTTGATATCTATTTGTCTTGTGAGCACAAACTCATAATCTCCCAGCCCATGTTTCCTCAGAAACATTTCCCTTCAAATGATTTGCGGGAGTGAATCGTAAAATGGCCATTGAAGAAATCGTTAAACACCACAAGAAAGCTTAAATAAATATGGGGATACACATTAGTATCTTTCAATCACTTTATGTTACATAAGAACTTGATTTTGTTTCATTTTGAGGTAAGTAAATTAAAATCATCTTTGAGTTGAAGGATTAAAAGCATTTCTAAAGGTGAGGTTTGAAGATCGTTACTACTTTTCTTATTTTTGCTTCTTCTTTTTTTACATTTCTTACCATCCTTTTCAGACTTGATGATGACATAATAAAACATGGGTCATTTTTCAACTTTGTTTGTCTTAGCTTCATTTTTAGTTATATTTTTGGTTGTGCTTATCTATCTTCTTGTATTCTTCATGTCGTACTGTCTGGCTGCTTGTTTGAATGAGTGCACTGTTAACATTAACTTAGCAAACACTGCAGCAGAAATAAAACAAAAAAATAGTCAGACATTTTTAATTCAGGGTCTTTGATCTTCATGATAATTTTAATTATCCTAAGATCTGAATAATAATCAGGCACCTGGCCTCTTCACCGTTCTTCATGCTGACGTGCAGCTCATTATTTCAACAACTATGCCTAGGGTAGTTTTCCTTCTTCTAGCTGTTAGCACACAATGCAGAAAATTACCAAAGCCTTAGAAGAAATCAAGCTCAATTCAAACAAAAGTTAATCCACTCTAGCCAGGCATATGAAGATATCTTATTGTAGGAAACTTGGATGGACACATTTGAAATCCACTTGCGATGTTGCGTGTCACTGATGTCTGATTAAGATGCAATAGTTTATGAATAAAGAAAAAAAGGGGTCAGAATGGCAAATACTGAGAGGAAAATTTTCAGAAATGACATACTATATTTCTATTTTTTTTATTGCTTCCACATTATGCTAAAATGTTTCCATTTCTTACATTCAACTGACTGGACTGTGGGTTCACTTAATATTTTAAAGTCATTTTACAATTTTATGTCATCATCACTCTTACAGGCAGCTGGTGAAAAATCCTGGACATCCTCTGCTTCTGTTTTATTTATTGCAGTTCAAAATCTTTATGCATTCAGAATATGATTTCATCCACTGCAATATTCTCTCCCTTTTAATACGTTCCTTCAGACACAGTTTTGATCTCTTTGTTTGGGGAAGCTCAGAGATGAGCAAAAAGATCACTAAACAGCAGACTAAACACAAGAACGCACTAAAGTGCAAAATGAACCCAAAATCAAGGAACTCAAAACCAAATAGACAACAGAATCAAAGTCTTCAGAACCCGATGGAGGGATGGTACTCAGCTGATGCTATCTGAGGTGATAAACTGTCTCAGGTTGGGGCTGCAGATTCTATCCATTCTTGATCTTTCCACTAAGGCAGTTTGGGTGATTTTTTTTTTTTTTTAAGACACATTATTCTGCTCACTGCCCACAAGTTATAACATTGTGATGGCAAGAACATATTATGGCGAGGCTTTTCTTTAAGCTTGTTAATTGATTAAGGATCAATTTTCAGGATAACTCAGCCAGAGTTTAGGAAATTGTTTAGATGAAAAGCATATGAATGTTTTAGGAGGACCCAGTCAAAGTCCAGGACCTAAAACCTGGATTTTGACTTATCAACAGATCGTGATAAGACTTGAAAATAAATGTATGTTCACCAGTAGGTCTGACTAAACTTTAGCTACTTTCCAAAGAAGGATTCTAAACATTTCAGTCATTAAATGTACAAAGCTGGTAGGCAAATGCCACAAAACACTTGCAGTTGCAAAGATGGTGAGACTCAAGGGGACGGAATCAGTAAAATATAAATTCAACACAGCAATTTTTTCTTTAAACCTGAAATGTATCAGTACATCCTTTTGGAAAGGCATAGCACAACCACAACATAATCTTGTCTTATTTATTCAACTCAGGGTTCAGCAATTTGCTTGGGTCTTTACTTTTTGTCCTCACTGATTATGTGAAAGACGTTTGGCTCTTAACATTGGTGATGAAGGTTCAAACTCAAACATGATGTAAGAAAGAATCTATGCTTTGATTTGTTTTATATTTGTTAAATATAAAACAAATCTGTTTTATATTTAAGATAACGCAGGCACTTGACCAGTGGTTAAACAGAATGCAAATAAATAGCATCCTCTGCAAATGTTTAAATGCTTAAAGTCTGCAATGTCTGCTCTTAAGAATCTAATCCTTTGGGCTGCAGCTGCATTTTGCTAGTCATAATAATTGTGTTGTCCTAATTAATTACTTAAGTTATGGCACAAAGTTAACTGAGCAAAATTAATGTCTATAAAAATGATAACCCTGTTCATAAATCACCTTACAGGGTATCACCTTAAAAGGAAAAATATAAATATAATTACATTTTTAATCAAACAGGGTGACTCTTTTTTTTTTTTTTTTTTTTTTTTTTTAAATTTTGAGCTGTTGGGGGGGAACTATTTAAAAAAAACCCCCAAAAAAAAGAAG